ATCTAGCCATGTTGGACTCAGTCTGGTGGAGACTGTGGTAATTGCAGTCCATTAGTCCTTTGGACTAATCTTTCCCTTGGGTCTTTGGTTTTCTTCATGCTCCCTTGCTCCAGACAGGTGAGATCAGAGGAGTAACTTAGATGGCTACTCACAAGCTTTGAAGACCCTAGATGCTACTTTTATATATTTTTTAAGGTAACATATTTTAATTGACATTTATTCATGTTTATGTCTGTGTCTCCTTTCAAATCAAAGCCCATGGCAGATAGTAATAATTAAGATGATATAGTCCGTTTATTTTTACTAAGTGTAAATGTGTCTCCTTATATGCAACTTAAATTTCCCTACAAAATTATCCTTCTGATATTTGTTCCATTTGTAGTAAAACTTACTTTGGGTCAAAGTGCTAGGAAGAGTAGGGCTAGATTTGGAAGTCAGATTTCTTAGAATCTAGAGCCATGGTTCTTAATTGCCACTTTACCCTGTCATTGCCATTTTGGCCTCTGTATCACCTAAGAGGGGCCTGTGCTCATTCAGTGCTAGATTTCTCACATTCCATGCCACAGACTCAGATTCTATTCTCACCCGGTGTGCCTCAATCAAAGCCACCGCCCATCTGTCAGTTCACCTGTAATGCTGAACAGGTTTCAGTAGAGATTCAGATTAAGACAGACTAGGAAGAAAGTTCTGGCAATCTACTTCCAAAATATCAGCCAATGAAAACCCTATGGATCACAATGATCTGATCCTGTTGCATGGGTTGACTTGATGGGAGCTAAAAACAACATCCCAACAGAATAACCCACAGCTGTGACATGCAAATGCTGGAGACATCAGTTTCCTTAAGTGTGTTATTTGGAAACTCAGCTGTGCTTACTGACAAGTAATACTAATTCATAGAAATTGTGGACACGTTTCCTGACAGGACCAAGGCAAAGTATAACCAGATAATTTCTCTATGTAAAGCCCAGGGTTCATTGCCCAGAGCCTCCCTTTACCTCTATAAATGAGAAAGGAATTGCTTGATTCCCAGTCTATGATACATCTCATTCATTTGCTCTACTTGAATCACACTTTCCTCTTGAATTAAAATAATAATAACTGTCTATTCCTGCTCTGAATATAGTCTCTAGGATCAGTTTTTGGACATTTTGCCTTCACTTTGATTGTTAACAATCACCAATGACGTGATTCCTCATTTAATAAGGGTAAATGACCAATTTCCTAGAATAATACTGGAGAAAGTAAACAAATTTATTAGTCTTTGTGAGGCAAAAAAATGTTGACAGGCTAAAATATAGTCCCAAGAATTCTCACCAGACACATGGAATTGGATGGTTGCTTAGAAATTTGTTCTCCTCCATTTACTCTTTATTAATTTAAGGTATTGAGGACTTCCTGTGTACTATTCACTGTTCTAATCGTCGTGGGTAAAGTAATGGACAAGCAGACACAATCTCTGATCTTGTGAGTCAAAATCCTGATGTGAGGTATAAATATCTCAGTCAAAACAAAACAAAAAACCAAACCCATTGCCATGGAGAAAATTCTGATATATGGTGACCTTATGCGTTATAGAGTAGAAAGGGTAAAACTGCTTCATGGAGTTTTCTTGGTTGTAATCTTTACAGAAGCTGATAGCCAAGCCCTTCTTCTGGGTGCAGCTGTGTGGATTTGAATCACTAATCTTCAGGTTAGTAGACAAGTGCAACCGTTAGTGCCACCTGGGGATGTAAACATTTATAGTACACATTCTATAGTCATATTAGGCAGTGATGATGTCAACGAGAAAATTAGCACATAGGATGGCTAGGGAGGCCCCTCTGACTTGATGAGGAAGTTGCCATGTTACAATCTGGAGAAAGAACCCAGAGCCCTCTGATGATTGAGGAAAGGAGAGCAGCAGAAGGCAGTGAGGCAGAGAGTGGTAGAACACTTCAATCAGGGCAGTTAGCAGGGCTAGCTCATGGCAAAGTGTTTGGGTTTTCTTCTAAAGGTGGTAGAAGCCTTGGAGGGAAATGACTTATAAAGTCTGAATGTCTACATCCTCTTGAGTGATCAACATGAATGAGTTCTGTGCAAATATCTGACAGAGCTGGATTAGCGGAAGCTGCTGTCACAGCCACTACTTCCAAAGAATTGCACTGTGATCCCCCAAAACACTCTTCTTTTTTAGATTTTACATTTATATTTTGTAAATCTATTAACCTCTAAGTGGTTCCAAGGAACCAAATTTATTTACATTTCTTTTTCATTTTTTGCATGTTGAAAATGAGATTTTTATTTGCTAGGAGTAAGTAACAGCATCCATTTGTTGTTTTATTTTATTTTTTTTGTACTTTAGATGAAGGTTTACAGAACAAAATAGTTTCTCATTAAACAGTACACGTATTGCCCTATGACAATGGTTAACAACCCCACGACATGTGAACACTGTCCCTTCTCAACCTTGGGTTCCCTATCACCAGCTTTCCTGTCCCACCCCTGACTTCTAGTCCTTGTCCCTGGACTGCTATGCCTCCTTAGTCTTATTTTGTTTTATGGGGCTGTCCAATGTCTGGCTGAACGGTGAACAAATCTTTTGACATATAAACCATAAAGGGGCTATTTCTGTCATGAGAACAGATGCTACAGTTTTCCGTCATTACTCTTGCAGTTTTTTAATTTTAAACACCAATGGGCTCTTATCAAGATGACTTATTTAACCTCTTGAAGAGGCCAATGACACTGAGGTTTCTAACTTCTTCTCACCCAAAGATTGTAGCTCAGGACAGAAAAAATGCTGTCATGGACCACTCAGTACAGCATTTTAGAGGGACCAACAGTTGTTAAAAACTATACTCTGCCCTTGCTCCCAGAGTATAAAGAGTCCCAAGACATTTTAATGTACATATCAAAACTTTTACAATAGATTTTGGGCCAAATTGACCATTATTCTCTGAAGCAGGAGTCAAACTTTTTCGATGTAATCAGAAGATGTCCCATTCAACATTATTATTCCTACCGTCATTTCAGGCAAAAGAAGCAGAGTTCTGACTCCCTGTGGGATTAATGCTTCTGTGGTCCTAACCCACTGTAATCAGAACCAAAGTCAGCATAAGGCTGGTTCTTATGAGGTGCGGGTCAAATATATCTCCACCTTCCCAATTCTCCATTATTTCACTTTCTGAGTTCAATAATTCACTGCAACAGTCACAAAGAACTCATAGACTATACTTATGGTTACATGGTTTCTTAGAGTAACAATGCAGAAGTAACATGATACAATTCAGGATGCAACTCAGGGTAAACATTAAGAAATTCATGATA